ATAAATTGTTAAATTAGCTCTTTGGATCATATGGTACACTCTATAGAGTCTGCTTGAATTACAAACAGTCCTGTCTCCAACACTCCCACCATTTTTGGGAGGCTGGGACATGACTAAAAAATCCACCCAACAATGCAGGAGATGCAAGAGACATGGGTTAAGTCCTTGAGTTGGGAAGATCCCCTGGAGTAGGAAATGGCAACTCACTCCAGTATTCTTGCCTGAAAAATTCCATGGACAGAGGAGCCTGGCGGGCTGCAATCCATGGGGTCACAAAGAGCTGGACACGACTGAGTGAGCACACACACACTTGAAATGCTGAGAACAGAAGAAAGAAGGAAGGGGCATGACAAAGAGAGGCAGAAATTAGTTGGAAATATACTAGGACATAATAGTCATGATTGAGAAAAAAAAACTGGGAATGTTTTGAGTAAAAGAAGCATAGATTTGGAAAGGGTGTGATGTACAGTTCATGCCATTACTTCTAATGAGCACTTTACCCAAGACAACCCAGAAGATAGATTTCTACCATAAACATATGTATGAAGGAGAAAGGATGTGAACTATGCAACAGAACCACGTTTGTGTTCACTGTGAAAACATATCAAACACCATTATCATCAAACATTTACAGAGAGCACGGCTGTATACATGAACTTGTACCAGATGTTATGATTAGTTTCTCCTATGCCACTATGTATTAGTACTTTATATATACTAAAAATCCACTGCATACAACTGTTTGTTTACAGGTAAATTACTTTACTAGAAATGGAAATAGATCTCTTCTAGGAGAGGGCAATACCCCACCATGGTGGGAAATAGCCATGTTCTGATGATCACTTCAGGAGGTCAGAGACAGTCCAGCATGGGAAATTACTAGTTTGCTCTCCTTTAAGATAGCACATGGGGAAACAATCTTTTAAGATGGGGATCAATCCTTTAAGATGGGGAAATAATGGAAACAGTGAGAGACTTTATTTTCATGGGCTCCAAAATCACTGTAGTTGGTGACTGTAGCCATGAAATTAAAAGACGCTTGCTCCTTAGAAGGAAAGTGATGACCAACCTGGACAGCATATTAAAAAGCAGAGACATTACTTTGCCAACAAAGGTCTGTCTAGTCAAAGCTATTTTTTTTCCAGTAGTCATTTATGGATGTGAGAGTTGAACCATAAAGAAAACTGAACACCAAAAATTGATGCTTTTGAACTGTGGTGGAGAAGAATCTTGAGAGTCTCTTGAACTGCAAGAAGATCCAACCAGTCAATCCTAAAGGAAATCAGTATTGAATATTCATTGGAAGGATTGATGCTGAAGCTGAAACTCCAATACTTTGGCCACCTGATGTGAAGAACTGACTCATTGGAAAAGACGCTGACACTGGGAAAGATTGAAGGCAAGAGGAGAAGGGCATGACAGAGGATGGGATGGTTGGATGGCATCACCAACTTGATGGACATGAGTTTGAGTAAACGCCAGGAGTTGGTGATGCACAGGGAAGCCTAGCATGCTTCAGTCCATGGGGTCGCAAAGAGTCAGACATGACTGAGCGACTGAGTTGAGCTGATGATAATACACTTATAAAACAGTATGATAATACACTTATATAACAGGCATAATAATATTTAATTTGAAAGATCCTTAGGAAGTTGAAATCACTTCTTGTCACAGTAAGTAGGCTATTATTTTGGTTCAAATCCATTCTCTAACCTCAAAAAACAAAGCAATACAACCTGGGTACCTCATGAAGGTATTGTGGTTAGGATGCTGCTGCTGCTGCTAAGTCGCTTCAGTCGTGTCCGACTCTGTGCGACCCCATAGACGGCAGCCCACTAGGCTCCTCTCTCTCTGGGATTCTCCAGGCAAGAACACTGGAGTGGGTTGCCATTTCCTTCTCCAATGCATGAAAGTGAAAAGTGAAAGTGAAGTCGTTCAGTTGTGTCCGACTCTTTGCAACCCCATGAACTGCAGCCCTATTAGGCTCCTCCATCCATGGGATTTTCCAGGCAAGAGTACTGGAATGAGTTGCCACTGCCTTCTCTGTGGTTAGGATGGTAGGAACCTTAAGAATACAAGATTAGTTTTAAAAGTGAACATACATTTAGAAGGAGAAAATAAATCATAACAAGTTAGACACTTTTTAAGATGCTGATTTAAAAATCCAGATGAAACATCATACTCTTTGCTAGATTCCTCAAATATCAGCCTTTGTAATAGCATTTTTCTCTACTGAGAAAAGGAAAATAATTCATATTTTCCTATAACATGCTTGATGGAACTTTGGGTTTTATTCTATTTAATCTGAAAAAAAAAATTGGTGGAGGGGTTCATAACTTGTTCTTGGGAAGTGCACATTAAGTTTTGGCATTGATGCCAATTTTAGAAGAGTTTTGTCAAGTTTATTTCCTATATGAGTTACAAGATTTGGGGGAACTTCAAGTTTTCACTAAGTGACAAATTTTAGGTAACCTTTTAAAAGGATATAAACAACACTTGATCTATTTTTTTTGTTGATGTCCTCATGTCATGATGTGGATAGAGTGGGAAGAAGCTATATATATATTAGAAGAATATATATATTCTTTCAATATAAGGATAGCTTATAATATATATCTGAAAGCTATTCTAATATCTGGTAAACCAGCAGTAATTTAACCATACCCAGATGTGACTTTTTATCCCATGATTCCAATAAATCCAAACCAAGTGTATCTCCAATTCAACTTCCCCTTAATTTGTATCCCAGCATCCCATACTGACGGGGGTAAGTTGAAGTGGAAAGGAAATGACCTTACAACAAACTGCAGGAAAAATATCTTGCTCTTGAGAAATACACAAAACCTCCAATCATATGCTAGTCTATTGCTAGTGTTCATCTTAGGGCCTTGGGAGGGGTACATGTAAATACAGGGCAGTGAAGCTTATCTTAACCTCCATAAGCTTCACCTGAAATTCACCTTTGCTTTTCATCTTTTTCCTTCCTTTCCTACTCAAACATGTCACATCTTTCTTAACATCCTTTCATTGCTTCAGCTCCCCATATTCTGATATTTCGCTCCATCATTATCAAGATTGCTCCCTCAAATGTAACAACATTCAACAGCTTTTCCTTGGTTTACATTCTACTTGATCTTATAACGTTTTAGGCTATTGAGCACTTGCTCCTTGAAACTCCCCCTTCTCTTTTGTTTTTTGGTGACTTTTGGGTCCCCATTTGTCCTTCAGCCTTGCAAGTCTTCTTTTTCTGCTCTGTTCTGGCCTGTCTCTTCCTTAGCCTCCCACATCACATAGATCCCTATGATCGCCTTATCTGCCTTCTGTACTCATCACTCCATGGACTCCAAAGAGAACCCTCAGCTCTTAGAGATGCAGCTAGGACCTCCACAGGGAGTGATCTCTTAATTTCTAATTCCCATATTACCATTTCAGTTTGCTCCAATTTCATTTTTCCACCCATCTGAAGGGCAGGCTGCTGCACAGTCACACCAGTACCTCAAAACAAGATGTTAGAAATCTGCTTCATCCTCAGGCTTCCTCAACTGACTCCACATTGGTCTCAAGGATATAAATTTTGGAGTAAATTTGATGAGATCCTCTTTGAAATATTTTAAATTGCAGGTTATCTCCAAGGCAATTCATTGAAAAGGCCTCCTTAACTCTCTGCCAGTATAAATTACCATTTCCATCTGTCTGTGAGCTTTGCACTGAACCCCAAATAGTATATTGTGAAATTCAAACCTTACCCATATTTCAAAGTCTAGCTTATAAACCACATCTTCCTTTCAAGTGCCCCTAAACAGGCCTGTTAACGTTGACTTTCATCACTTGGCAAAATCAGCAACAACTCCCTTCTCTGAACTGGGCTTAATTTGGGTTCTTCCAAGTTAAGCAATGGAGACAGAAGTTTGAAGACTCCAAGAAACTTTGAGACCAGTTGATTTTTCCACCACTTCTTCATTTATTCTCTACTCAGAATACTATTATACATTTGGACGTTACCCAGACAGGTTTTTGGTCCCCTGTTGGTGAGATTTTTTTCCTCAAATGCCCAAGTACATCTGAAGCTCTATCTTGGGGGGTGAGGACCCAGAGTTATATGCACATCCAGGTTATTTAAGCTTGTTATCCCAGACGAGCCCCTTGTGATTCATCTACTTTTAGGTTTCCCTGGTGGTGCAGCAGTAAAAGGTCCGGCTGCCAATGCAGGAAACACAGGAGATGCTTCCATCCTAGGGTGGGGAAGATTCCCTGGAGGAGGAAATGGTAACTCACTCCAGTATTCTTGCCTGGACAATCCCCACGGACAGAGGAGCCTGGTGGGCTGCAGTCCATGGGGTCACAAAGAGTTGGACGTGGCTGAGCACAAGTATGACCACTGGTCGCATTCCCAGTCTCCCTGCCGGAGCCACGTCAATCGCTCCCTTTGCAGGTGGAGAACCAATCCTAGAGAAAGTAGCCGATGCCCCAGGGATGTGTGGGAACTCACTGCGCTTTCTGCTCAGTCATGCTGCTGCTGCTGCGGCTGCTAAGTCTCTTCAGTCATGCTATGAACCTAAAAAAGTAGGTCATTGCCTTACAGGGAGAAGCGATATTCTGACTTTCTGGACACGTATGTGACAAAAATGGTAGCCACTGTGCTACCATTAATTTACGAAGTTAATTTATGAAGTAAATTAACTATTCTCTTCCTGAACCATTCCTGCAGTCTTAGGAAAGTATTGCATCTCAGGAAGACATCTTGTTGTTTTAATCATGACTGTCTTTCATTTCTTGGTTAAATCTGTGATCAAGGATGGAGAAAGAAGGGAAAGGATAGAGAACTTCCAATTTACTCACTGAAATACAGTTATCCAATTTACTCACTGAAATATACTCTCAAAGAAGCATATTGGGAGACGCCTTCCGGTCCGCGCGGGAACCGGTCCGCGCACAGAGCCCCCGCCGTGCGCCGCCCGCCGGTGGAGCGAGCCGCGCCAGTGCCTGGGGCGTACGGAGTGATGGGGGACAATGGGGCCGCGGACTGCAGCGTCCACGAGGCCTGGAATGAAGCTACCAACGCGTACCTGGTGGTGATCCTTGTCAGCTTCTGGCTCTTCATGTATGCCAAGAGGAATAAAAGGAACATTGTGAGGATATTCCGTTTGCCACCTCCAGCAGAAACTCCGTCAGAGCCCAACTTTTATGACACAATAAGCAAAATTCGTTTAAGACAACAACTAGAAATGAACTCCACTTCCAGGAAATATGACTAGCAGCAGCCGCAGAGCCAAGCTGACAGCGTGCAGCTCTCGCTGGAATGAAATCTCAGAAAATGAGCGGCATAAGCGCTTCTTGTTCAAGAGTGCGGTCTCCTCCCGCTACTAAACCATGACCAGAGTTTTGGGGTGTGTTTTTTTTTAACTTCTGTCTCCATAAAATCATTTTGTTTGTGACTTTCCTCCCAATTTTCTGGTTTGTTTGGTTTCACTTTTTAAAATTTCATCTCAAGATCATTTGTTCCACAAATTGAAAATGCCTCCAAAGGCCTGAACACAGAGAGTCTGGGAAGCAGGACGGTCACCAGAGATGGCGATCTTACATTGTGAAGACCTACAACTCCTTCAGGATGCAGTCAGGAGCAAAAGCACAAGAGTCTGGAGCCTAGGCCACTTTTGAACTTTTTCGCAAAATTAAAAAATAAAAATCAAATTATTAAAAGAACTCCCTCTTTGATTGTGCCATGGGATAAATGTCGTAATGGATAAGGGACTAACTAATGTGTGTTCTTGTGGCTGTTGTTACCTCAGATTGAATTAGCCATCTTTGCTTCTTCAGGAGTCACACAGGAAACTTGTTTTTTCTGCACCGTGAAATCCTGATGCACACCCCTCTGCTAGTTGTGGAAATTTCCTGGGACTGGAGTTCGTTCCCCTTCATGGTGTTCCCACGAGTTCCTTCCACCAGAAGAGTCTTCTTCCAGCCATGCCAGGGCCGTGCTGCTGAATACATGGGCACCTCTGACAGGTGCTAGCTACTTGCTTTGGAATCTTATGACTATAAATGTTTAACTGTCTAGCTTCTTGGGCTTTTTTTTTTTTTTTGACCATAATAAGCTTCCCTGTAGACTCATATCTTTTTTGTGCTGAAAACTTCATGCTGAAAACACTGAAATGTTTTTGCCCAGTTTTTCATATTTATTTAAAGAAAAACTGGTTGGAGGTAATAGCAGATACGTTTAACTGACCATATAACTGTTCAAGAATTTGTTTTCAGGACTTCCCTGGTGGTCCAGTGGCTTAGACTCCATGCGGCCAATGCAGGGAGCCCTGGGTTCAATCCCCCGTCAGGCAACTGGATCCCACATGCCACAGCTAAAGATTTCAGATGCTGCAACTAAGACCCAGAGCAGCCAAATAAATATTAAAAAAGAGAGAGAATTTGTTTTTGAATACAAATGCCACTTTAAAAGTTAGAGTTAATATTTTAAATGTTATTGCCTTTTCCTTTACAATTATGAAGTAAAGAATATACATTTTATTGGGTTTTTTATTAAGTTTGTTTTTTTTAGGTGAACCATTTTAAAAGCCTTTATTGGATTTGTTATAATACTGTTTCTGTTTTTTGTGTTTTGGTTTTTTGGCCAAGAGGCATGTGAGATCTTAGCTCCCTAAACAGGGATCAGACCTGCCCTCCTTGGATTGGAAGGCAAAGTCTTAACCACTGCACCACCAGGGAAGTTCCAAGAATATAAATTTTAAATGAAAAATTTAGGCCAAGTGAAATCATTTCAAGAAAATTGCACTTACTTTAAAATTTATGTCATTCAAAAGTGTATATATTTTACAAGGTGGATTGTTGATCAAATGGAATAATTCTTTCTTAACCCACAGATGAGTTTGAATTCCCCACCTGTACCCAGAATGAATACATAGACTGAAGGATTGTAAACAGTGGTAATTATGGCCTGGGGTGAGCAGAGCAGCAAGGAAACAGTCTCTTAAACTTTGCTCTTACGTAATCAGGAGTGGGAGTGGTTCATATGCTGTCACTGATGTGAGGTACAAACCTGGACAAATTATGAAAACTGGCTATCTCAGCCGATTTGAACAAACTGTGTACCTAAATAAATAAAAATCACAACAACAACAAAAGAAGCAGCATATTGATCCAGGGTCATTCACATCATCTCAGGGCATGACCCAACTCTGAACAAGAAAAATGCTCCTGAAAGGAGCTGGAGACTGACATTACGTGATCCAAATGTGAACAGCTGCCGTGTTATTGAGTGCTGAGCATGGGCCAGACATCTGGAAGTGCTCTACAATCACAACTGCACCAATCCACACAGAATCTGTATATGTTTGGGACAGTTATTATCCTGATTTTACAGATAAGAAAACTAAGACATAGAAAGATTATGTAAATTGCCCAAGGTTACATGATTTGAAAGTATCAGAATGAAGTTCTGATCCCAGGCGATCTGATTTTAAATTTCATGTCTTCATGAAGAAAATTCATTTTTATCATATGCTGTTACATCACAGTGTGTTTTAATGCATTTTAGGTCATTTTATTATTATAAAAAATTAATCTATCAATAGATGAGTTGTATCATGAAAATATCAATTAAATTGAAAATTCCATAGAAGTGGGTGTCAACTATTACAATTACTTCCCTTTTAATAAGAGAAACTGATGCACAAATGAACCAGAATTGAGAGCCAGTGTGAAATAATGAGATATTTATATACCAATTTTGTTTTCTGGGTGATCTCAGATTGTATACAGTTTTACAACTAAGTTAAAAACCTTAATGTTGTTAAGGGATTTGTACAGTTTAAAGTTTAACTCATTTAAAATCAAAAAGGAAAGAAAACCTTGAAAGCATTTATCCTGCACACTTGCAGAAGATTCAAATACACACTTTTTATTGAATATCTCAACTCAGAAAGTTTTGAAAAGATTGGTAAGATTTACATCTCTACAGTGCTTAAGAACACCCAGCACAGATATTTTTAAAAGGCTTCCTTTTAAATAAAACTATGTATAATTAGCCAAGTTTCCTATGACTTGTATCTTAGTTTGGTGTTCCACAGAAACAAACCCTGCGATAAGAACTAAAGAGCAAATATGTATTTGTTTGGTAAGAGAAGGGTGTAGTCAGGGGAGAGTGGTGAAGAGAGACAGGAAGGAGAGCCCGGTAAAGGGGAGCCTGCTTTCACCCGTATGGGTGGGGAGCCCCTGAAAGCCAGTGGAGACCACGCACCCGATAAGGGTGAGGGAGTGGGGACACTGACACACCAGCTTCCATCAGGTGCTGTTTCAGTCATTGAATGAGGGCTGCTCGAGGGAGGGGCGATGATTCTAACTGTGTCAGGCCTGCCCTACAGGAGAGGGTCTGGGCTCCAGTAGCAAGAGAAGGTCCTTGCTTGGCACAGATGCTGGCAGCTGGAAGCCCACTAAGGGTGGGGACCCCAGCATCTGCTCTACCTCTCCCCCATCCTACCTTTCACTATAAAGGACATTAATTTGTCTCTAAATTTTTACATACAAACAGCATTTCCCCTTGATAATAATAAAAGGAAAGATTAAATTGTCCTACAAACAGACTCCATCACATTAGTTTGTGTGAGGGTTTCCACCAAAGCAAATGCCCAGGAAGGGAATCCAAGCTCCCTGTTTCAAGCTGCTCTGATGAGCAAACACACAAGGTCTTGCACAGGATGGATTATGAGTCAGTGGGAAAGACTTATGCAAGAAGCCAAGTTCACTCAGTGTACATCACTGATACAGAATATCAAGATGCCTCCTGAGAAGTCTCTCTCTTTCAGCCCTCAAAGTAAAATATTGTTATTATTGGACCTCATAGTCATTCTTCTTACTCTATCTTTACACAAAATCCTAAAGTTCTGCTGGTCTCCAAATCCTTAATTTATGATGCAAGGACATTTGCAATTCAGAGAGAGATCAAGTGGTTTATCTTTGATCATAAGCTGAGTCAATGGTTCAATGAGAGCCAGCACTAATTCCACATGGTCAAGGAGATGGCAAGATTTGAAGTTAAAAATCTTCCCCAGGTCACCCACTCTCCTCTAAGTGCTATGTGTTTTCATCCTCTTTCTAATTGTCTCCTTCTTTACTTCCTTTCACACAAAAATTTCCAAATTGGCCAAATGACCAGATAGATGTTTCTCCTTTCTAGTATTCTTGCTACATTGTGGCTATAGGTTATGACCTTTACCCCTTTCTCAGGAATGAAAAAATACCAGGTAATGAAATAAACTCTCATGGGATTAGAAGATGCAAACTAATTTTTAGCCATTTCTTCCTGCCCTTGTAGCCTGTTTCTGTTCCTCTACCTCTGAGCCATATGCCCACATAGTTAGAAATAAAGATCTATTTGTGTGCGTTCTAGTCTGCCCGAGCTCTTCCCATATGAAACTCTTTCTAAGAACAGTTTCTTGGTGCTTTGTCCTGAAAATCCCCATTCATTACCCAAATAATAATAATAATAATTGAAATTACTTTAAAAAAAATCAATTACAAAGATGACCCAAGTTGAGAGAAAGACGCATTCAAGAAAGAAACTATTTTAACCAAAAAGAAAAATGTAATGAAAAGTGGGGAATCATGTGGAGTGATTTTCACCCTCATATTGGATGCCTGGTAGATTGCTTAGAAGAGGGGAAAAAAAGAATCAACTATGTGATTTACATTTGCACTTTGAAATTTGTTCTTAACCTGAAATCAAATCTCTGTATTTACTCAGCCATAACATGGAGTCATACTACTCTTCCAACTGATGACTCACAGGAAACACTGGATGATTTTTGAACAGAAAAATTAGCATAATACTCCTTTTCAGAGCACTTTGAAAGATAGAGGAATGAGACAATGATGGAAAATGTCTTCTGAGAGTCACCATTCAAAAATTCTCATCAAGTTCTGAAGAGGGCAGAAATAACTGATGTTTTCCTCTGGTCTTGCAATGGAAAGTATGAAAAGCTGCTTTTACATTGTAAGTGGATTTACTGGGAGGTTTTCTTCCCAGCTAATGCTCCAGGGTGTGTATGCACCTGTGAATTTGTGTGTGCGTATGTCTGTATTTGCATGTAAAAGAGAAAGGCATCAACATAGGAACAGAGACACAAAACTTATATATATTTATCCTAAGGCTTGCTATGCATTTCTCTCTTATATCTTTGGAGAGAAACATCATAAAGTTCTGAAGTATATAAGCAAATAGATGACAATTACAATGGAAAAGCAAAAT